TTAATGACAGCATGGAGCAAAACGGTTGAGCACAGCAGCTCAGACAGATGAGAATGAGCATGTTAGAACATAACTAGCTGTTGCTTCTAACTTTCTGAGTGATCGTTGTACATGGAGGTACAGCCATTGTTTTTAGTTCATGTGTATTGGTGAGTTTCTCGGACAAACGGTTGTGGTTATAAAATCAGTATTCTATGTCAGCATTGGGAATTAAGCTGTATTAAAATGCAGTGTATGTGAGAAAACTTTGGTAAACATCGGCTAAGTTTTGGCTTCACTGATGCAAAAGGCAAAATGAAGTCACAGTAACCCACCAAGTCCTTGTTTATTGGTTTCAAATCAGTCTTCCACCATCTCTGAATGTCCCGAAGTGTTGAAGTTTCCTGAGAGCTCTGACTTGTGGGTCTTTGATCAAAGCTAATGGCGATGTTAGCTACATTAGCTACACACTAATGGTTTTCCTATTGTTGTGTTGACATTGCCATCAAAAATAATCTACTGAGTCTTCAGTTCCTCAGATGTTCAGAGTGCATGAAGACTCTTTTGTTCACTTTTGCAGCCAACAGCGAACATTTTGCTCGTGGCTCAGACATTTTAGAGTTTGCAGAGGAAGTTCTGGAAAGTAAATAAACATGGTGGACTGAGAGGAGGCTGATATAATATCATTATTTTTAACCCTATTCAGGACTTTAAAGTTGCCATGCGTAGAAGGTCTTTCTGGGTCCGCTGGAACCCAAAAAGAATATGTATAAAGTATTTGTTGGTATTTATTATAGACTTTTATACTATGGTAAATACATTTTCTGATAAGTTGACGCATTTTTGGTTCCAAATGCATGACAAATGTCCCTCTTTTTAAATTAAAAAAAAATAAAAATCTTCAAAAACACGTGCCAGATGAGAAGTTCAATGACTGTCTGAAAATTTAAAACATCTGATGGTTGTGTTTTTACAGTTTCTGGCTCTGATAAATGGTGAAACTTTGGTGATTTTTCTTTTTTAAATGCGACATGCCCTTCAAACTCGCCGGCAGCTTTTAGTTATTAAAGGGTTTATTTGTAAGTAGCATTTTTATAGTTAGCCAGTTCAGGTGGTGCACATTTGAACTGTTTTCCATATGACTGAATCATATTTCATACACTGAAAACACATGTTTGTTCTGTAAAATATGAAGTATGGAAGTAGCATTTTACTTTGAAAAAGGTTTAAGAGAACAAGGACGGCAGGAAAAACCTGTGAGGACTTCATATGCATTATTGCAGCATGAAGAAGATGCACCATGTACCAGAAAGTAGCAGGTTTTGCTGAAGTCCAAAAGCTGGTTTCATAGGACCTCTCTGCAACAGTGTGCCTCAACATTGATCCGACCCAAACCAGAACATATATTATCATCTATTTTAAAAGTTAAATCTAACCTTAACCTTGTCTTTATCCACAACGCCAAGTCTGAACCCTCAGACAACCCTTTAGAGACGTAAGAATTGTCCACAGTATGATCACTTTCAAGCTGTAAAACATGGTCCTCACAAATTACATGTGCAAGAACCACACAGACAAACCCAAATCCCGACCTGTGATTTAGTGTCTTTTCATGACTTCAGTCTGTTTTATCTTTTTGAGTCACAATCAAATATTTAAACCTGAACGTGTCTCTCAGTCAGAACAGTGATTTACAACGTCACCATCTGCTCCTTCTCCTGGTTCAAACCTCATTCACTGCAGGGTCAGCTATGTGTGGCGCGCTTGATTTACATCACCAGGCGCATCGGAACAAGCTTAACAGTTCAAAAGGAAGCTGCAGTGACCTGGTGGTGGTTTAGTAAGCCGTGGTAAAGTGAGAGAAAGTCCAGTAATTAAAATGTTTCAGCTCTGACATCATGTGAATGAGTGAGGGTTTTCACCACTCCTCACTTCCAGCTCTTCGTACTTCTGCCCTGCAGCCTGGAAGGACAAAGTGAATTAGACTAAGAGCCGTTGCTTTGCAGGTATCACATGTTTGTTAGGACCAGTTTGCATTTTAGACCATTGGGGTGGAGACTCTTTAGATGGTTTCTCACTTTTTCAAAGCCCTTCAAAGGCCTGTTCGAGGTTTAAGATTTAGTTTTAGGGTTAGAATCAGGTTCAGATCAGGGGGAGGCTGAGGTTTCAGCTGTGATGGTTAAGATCAGGTTAAGGGGCTGGGGAATGCATTATGTGTCCTCATAAGGGTAGCCAACCATTCTGAACACGTGTGTGTGTGTGTGTGTGTGAGTGTAGCTCTTGGGTCCAAAGTGTTGTAAATGTCATTTAATACTTTGGCGAACGCAACACAGTGTGTGTTGGCCTGTGGTTGTGTGTGAGTGTGTATTCCAGCTGTCATCTAATCCATCCAGTCCTCCGGTTGTGCGTCCACTCTGCTCCTCACATTCCTCCACCTTCCCAGGGTCCCGAGTACCCAGGGTGCACGGCTGCAGGGCGTTACCATGGTGACGGGGTGATGGGGTCACCCGTCTGGTACGTCAGTGATGAGAGGAGAGTTGATGGGGAAAGATAGGCAGGTATGAAGACAGACAGACAGACAGGAAAAAGGAGCATTAAGACATACTTTTAGTTCTGTTATTAACCCTCTGAAATCAAAGTGCTTTCAACACGACGACACAACCACGACAAGAAGTAGAGAGAACTCAGA